GGACACTGAATGCCACACAGGGTCAGATGGGCACCGTACTCTGTAGCAGAGTGAGGGCTGGGGTCTGAGGAGGCAGGCAGGTTTAGAAATAAGAGCGCACAATGACTAATGGTTCCCGAGGGGGATGCACTGGCTTGTTTGAATAAATTCATGGGCTGGCAGACAGGTGAAGTGAAACTTCTTAGGCTGAAGTGCAGCTGCTCTGGCTGATAAAAGAACTAGCCAGGTGGGGAGCCTTTCCTGCTGGGTGGCAGGGTAGGAGCTGTCTGTCAGAAACAGGAAAACCCATGGCTAGGCCTTTGGGGCCCTGTAAGGCTCAAAGATGTCAAGGCAGCATAGGAAATTTTAGATCTTAAAATTCAGCGAAGACCCTCTCTCCAGCTCTGGTAAATTATTTTACTTGAAATCTACTTCATGAGATATTAATATATTCATTCCTGCTTCCTTAAAAAATTAATGATTATATAAGATATCTTTCTCCATTCTTTTACTTTCAACCTACTTAGGTCCTTAAGTGAATTTGAAGTTTCTTATGAACAGTATCTAATTGGGCCATGTGTTTATTTTAGGCTCTCCATCAATCTATCTTTTGGTTTATTTAGACCATTTACATTTAAGGTGCTTATTGTTACGTAATTACTTAAGTCTGATGTTTTTATTATTTTCTTTGTTTCCTTTTTCCTTCCATCTTCATCTATTTCTGTATAATGTAGTTGCATGTATCTCTTTGTATAGTCTTACAGTGTTTGTTCTGGATGTTACAATATGCGTATTGTAATATAGTAGTCCACTGGTACCGGTATTTACTACTTCAAACTGTGGAAACCTTCCTTCCATTTAGGCCTCTTTACTTTTCTACTTTTGTAAATCACTGGCTTGAGTATCAGGTGGTGGTATAGTTTTTGTTTCAGTTATCAAATGTGATTTTAAAAACTGTGGATTGTCTAGTGTATGTATCCACATTTCTGGTCCCTCCCGTGATCCCATGTTCATCCCTTCTGCATAAGAACATTTTGTAGCCATTTTTTATTTTGATTTTTTTGTTTTAATATTTTGTATTGTAGAAATGACAGAACATATCTCTGTAGCCCTTTTCTTTAACATTTCTAAATTTACCAGTGACAAATTCCTGTATTCTCTTCCTCTGAGAATGTCTTTTTTCTCTCTTCATTTCTGAAGGGTAGTTTCATGGGATATAAAATTTGTAACCAACAGTTTTTTTTTTTTTTTTTTTTTTTTAGCAATTGAAAATGTTGTGCCACTTCTTTCTGGCCGCCATGATTTTAGAGGAGAAATACAATGGCATTTGAGTTAGCGTGTCCCTACAGGCATTCTGCCTCTTTTGGTCTTTGTTTTTAGTTTTGAAAGTTTAATCAGTGTTGCTTTCTTTTGGTATACTTTGAGGTTTGCCCAGCTTCTTGAATCTGTAAGTTTATATCTTTCGCCAAATGTGGGAAGCATCAGGAATCAGTTATTTGCATGCTTTCGCAGCTCTGGTCTCCTGTAGGACTCAGATAACATGAATGCGGGGTCTTTTGTTATTGTCCCACAGGTCCGTGTGGCTCTATTCATTTGTTTTCAGGTTATTTTCTCTCTATTGTTCAGACTGGGTGAATTCTGTTGATCAGGTTTCAGCTCCGATTCTCTCCTCTGTCATCTTCACTTTTACTCAATAGAGCCCATCCAGAGAGATTTTTTCAAATTTCTGTTCCTGTATTTTATATTTCTGTAATTTCCATTTGATTCTTCTTCAGTTTCTTTGCTGAAGTTTTCAGTTCTTTGTTTGTTGCCATAGGATTTGTAGTTGCTTGTTGAAGCATTTTTATACTGGCTGTTATAAGCGATGAGTCAGATGATTCCAACATCTGACTCATTTCAGTGTTGATGTCTTCAGTTGTCCTTTCACATTAAAATTATGATTTTCTCAGTGGTATGACAGGTCATATTCTGTTTCATCCTACATATTTTGGTTATTCTGTTAGGAGGCCTATGTAAATTTTTTATTTTTTATTTATTTTTTATTTTTTTATTTATTTATTTTTGAGACGGAGTCTTGCTCTGTCGCCCAGGCTGGAGTGCAGTGGCGCGATCTCAGCTCACTGCAAGCTCTGCCTCCCGGGCCCACACCATTCTCCTGCCTCAGCCTCCCGAGTAGCTGGGACCACAGGTGCCCGCCACCACACCCGGCTAATTTTTTGTAGTTTTAGTAGAGACGGGGTTTCACCGTGTTAGCCAGGATGGTCTTGATCTCCTGACCTTGTGATCCGCCTGCCTCAGCCTCCCAAAGTGCTGGGATTACAGGCGTGAGCCACTGTGCCCGGCAATAAATTTTTTATTTTTGCAGGCAGTCCTCCTGTTTAAGTTTAGTCTGTAGGTCTTGGTCTACTTTGTGGGCTGTAATTCCAATGACAATTTAATTTCAGAGACTTCATGGTGTTATTTTGGTCTGTTTGGTGTATCTGATATCACTGGGGCTCTCCCATCAGTCCCTGCTGATGCCCACCTGAGGGAACAGGGGAGCTGCCCCAGGCTGGGCCACCTGCTGCAGCTAGGTGGGTGGGGAATGGTGGTTGTCTTGGTGTGTGGAGCTGGTTTCCTTGTTGTGGGGAAGATCTCCTTTGATCTGGGGGCATTGAGCCTGCCTGGGTTGCCTTCTATTCTAGGTTGGGAGTTGGGAAACACTGGGTCTGGGTCACCTTCCTGTTGGATGGGATCCAGGGAGACACCTGGCCACTATGTATTCCCTAGTCCTAGAGTCCCTCAGCAGCCTTTTTCTTTCCACCTTTAGGAATTCTCCAGTGGTCATCTCCTGTCTATTATTTCTAGAGTTTAGGTTATACTTCTTAGTCAAGAGGAAATAATGTGTTGTCTTCTCTAGACCAGAAATCCTTGGTGGTGGTTTTGGGTTGTAACTGTGCTAAAGGGAGAATTGGCATATTTGTGATGTCAAGGCTTTCTTTTCAAATGAGGACATATCATCATTCAGTAGATGATATTTACAACACCTGCTTCCTTGGGTTGAAGAATGTGGTTAAGGCAAGGAAAGTACTTAACGCAGTGCCTGGTGTGGAGAGCACTTATGAGTGTTGGTGGTGATGCTATTTCTTTTGTCCTTTGGTGGCATATGAAAGCTTCTCTTCTTTTTTTTTAAATAAATTTCCAGTGCATTTCTTGTTAGGTTTATTCCTGTTTTATCCTTTCTTGCTTTTATTACAAATAGGAGCTTCCTATCTATTATAACTTCTACCTGGTTCTTTGGCCCTTATGTGAAAATGTTTTAATAGCCTTCTAAATGTTGCTCTCCCAGGCTGAGGCAGGAGCGTTGCTTGAGCCCAGGAGGTCAAGGCTGTAATACACTATGATAGCCACTGCCCTCCAACCTGGGCAACAGAGCAAAAACTCTACCATCTCTTAAAGTACGAAAAGTAAGTCAGATCATTCCACTGCCTTGCTCAAAATCCTCCTCAATTTCTCATCTCACTCAAGTAAACCCAAAATTCTTACAATGACCTAGAACTGTGCCATCTAATATGGTGGGCATTAGCCACCTGTAAGTAAATTTAAACCTATTTAAAATAACATAAATTTTAATTTTTAGTTTAAAATTTAATCTTCAGTCTTGCTAGCCACATTTCAAATGCTTAATAGCCACTTGAAATATTGTAATTTGCTATGGAGTTGGGCAACGCAGATATATAGCATTTCCATCAGCACAAAAGTTCTATTGGAAACCATTGGTCTAACATCTGGAAAGGTTATTAACTGCCTGCCTGTGGGCAAAACACACTTCCCTGATGCATTTTTTTGGTGGTTGGGTGATTGATTTTTAGATAACTGGAATTTGGTACCAGCAGTTATTTGTGTGATTTAAAATTTTAAAAACTTGTATCTTGAAGAGAATACAGAATATTACAACTAAAAAAAAAGTTGCTCTCCCAAATGAGTTTTAACTTGTCTATTTCTTTCATTCTTTTTCCTTTTCCTTTTTTTTTTTTTTTTGACACAGGGTCTCACTCTGTCACCCAGGCTGGAGTTCAGTGACGCAATTATGGCTCACTGCAACCTCTGCCTCCCGGGCTCCCAAAGTGCTGGGTTTATAGGCATGGAGCACTGCACCCAGCCTTATTTGTCTATTTCTTTTAAAAATGGGACCTATAATTGAGCCCAGAGCTGCAAAAACAAATGAAGGAATGAATGAGTGAATAAGCTCTTCCCATGGGTTTGGTGCTCTACTCTTAATCTAAATGTTATGTTTTATATAATCTAAGATTTCCCCTAGGTGTGTTACATGATTGTGTTGTGTTGAACTTACATTGCGACTCTTTTTAACATGTGCTGGTATCAGCGTGGGGCTTTTCTATTCACTCTTTGAACTATTTGTTTGGGGGACATAGATAGACCTTTATGTCTCTCATAAAGAGTGTCCACTGGATGTGTTGGCTCATGCCTGTAATCCCAGAGCTTTGGGAGACTGCAACAGGAGGATCACGAGGTCAGGAGTTTGAGACCAACCTGGCCAATATGGTGAAATCCCATCTCTACTAAAAATACAAAAATTAGACAGGCCTGGTGGTGGGCGCCTATAATCCCAGCTACTTGGGAGGCTGAGGGAGGAGAATTGCTTGAACCTGGGATGCGGAGGTTGCAGTGAGCCAAGATCGCACCACTGCACTCCAGCCTGAGTGGCAGAGTGAGACTCTGTTTCAAAAAAAAAAAAAAAAAAAAAAAGTGTCCATTGGAAAAATTGAAACTGATTTTGACATGAAGTTTGACTTGAATGTGGATTGGGTCCATTTAGTTTACCTAAACAGATGATGAAATACTAACTGTTTTACGAAGCATTCCCTAGTGCAAAGTTTTGCCTGTGTCTGTATGTGTAGTGATGGGAATGATGTGAATGAGGCTTGGAACGCCGAGCACACTGTGGGCCTGTGGTGGGTGGGGCCAGCAGCACAGGCATGCCTGGCTCACAGAGCAGCCTTTGGGTGTGCTTTTCCCAGAGGAGTTCTATGGTGATTTTGAAGACTTGGAAACAGGGGACGTGCACAAGGGAAAATCAGACCCCGATACTCAGGTATGACTTTATTGTGGCTGGCTGTTCTTGGTCATTGTGTTCTGAGAGAGGCCCACATTGAGAAATGCAAATCTTACTTGTGATGTGTGAAGATTGCAGACTGGATGGATAGATTTCTTACTAAAGGGTGGTGGGGATGTGGGGGCCAGAGAGAAGCTTCCTTGTTTACTTGTTAAGTTTTGAATGACAATTACTACCGCTTCTTGCCACAGTCATTTGCCAAGTCTGCTGTGATTTTTCATTCACAGAAGTCTTAGCTCCTCAGGCTTACATTCCACTGTTGCCATCATTCTCCTTCTCTTAAATTTAAGTGTCATTTAAAAGAATGAAGTCCCTGTTCTCCAATATTTCTTTAGAACAGGGTCTGGGAGCATCTCCGTGAGGGACACATCTGTTATTTTTATTCTAATTTGTGTTCCCAGCGAGCTTAAGGAATGGCAGCTAATTGTAATGCAGATGTAACCATTTCCTATAGCAGCACCATGTTATTCAGAGAGAAAGGTCATGTTATGTTTTGTTTTATTGATAATGATAACAGATTTTTGCTAAGATTTTTGTTTAAATAGAACTTTACAAAGTCTAATGTTTAAAGAAAAGACCTTCATAACTGTACACAAAATTTTTTCTTCTGGAAATTTAAGAATGAAGATGTAGAGAAAGAAGTTAAGGAAGAAATTGACCCCAACAAAGAGGAAAGTGCCACGAAAAAGCATTTGGATAAGAAGAGAAAATTGAAGGAGATGTTTGATGCAGACTATGATGAAGGAAAAAGCACATATTTTGATGATCTTAAAGGAGAAATGCAGAAACGAGCACAGGTAAGAAGCCTCAGTTCCTCTCAGCCCCTTGTCAAGACTATCATAGCGCAGGAATCCCTGACTTTGTTTGGGTCCCTGCTTCCTATCCTGCTTCTGTGCCTTTCATTTGGACTCCTGCGTAGAGATGCATATGAGTGTGTTTATTCATGCAGTGAGCTCATTGTTTCTGCAGTCAGAAGGTCACCAGAAAAAGATTCATACCTATTTTGTAACAAGAATTAGGAAACAGAAATGACTGAGACATGGTCTCTACTTTTGAGACTTTTACAATGTAGTGATCTAAGACAGTGCATTCATTTCAGTGCAAGCATTGGCTGCCTATTCCGATCGCTGCTCCCTGATTTGAATGGCAGGTGATCAGTGGCCCGTGTGGCTTATGGACACACCAGAGCTCCCAGGAGGAGTGCTCTGAAAACTCATCCTGGTCAGAGTTTACAAGGACATGTGGAGTGTAAGGTCTGATGCGAAGATAAAGGGAGATGGTGTAGCCCTCCTGCCTGGGGGTGCTGAGCAGGTTGCTGGAGGCGGTGATCTCACTCTGAAGGAGACAGACACAGAAAAGTGTGTACAGTTGATGGTGAGCATCTGAGTTGCGCCATGTTAGTGAGGCCAGGAGTGCCTGTGTAAGCTGGAACAGATTAGGTATATGATTTGTGAAACAGAGTTTCATCTTAGGTCTTCATTTAGTCAAAGAACTCTCTCCTGATTAGACATTAGCTTAGTGGTTGCAAGTCTGTGTTGACCTTTGACAGGCATGACTAGGTTAACTCTGAACTTTTTGCTTCACACTATTTACAATTTAAAATTACCTAGAGCCTTGTGGGCCATTGGAAAAGACTGTTTCACTCTGAAATGGGAGTCCTTGGAGGGTTTTGAGCAGAGGAGAGACATTCAGGTAATCGGATCACTCTGCCAAGAGATCAGTCGGGTGGCACAAACCAGAGAGCTGGCAGTGGAAATGAGACAAAGAGTCAAACCTGGATAGACTTTATTTAGAAGCTGGGTCAGTAGGATTTCCTGGTGGACTGAATGTCGGGTGTGTAAGAGGAAATGAGGATGACGACTGGAAGTTCCTGGAAGGATGGGTTGTTGTAAGTGAGACAGGAAACCCTCTGTAGATGCAGCTTTGGGAAGATGATGTTTGGGTCGGTTGGGTGTCATGCAGACAAGCGGAGTGTCAGGTCTGGAGAGAGAGGTCTGGCCAGGGACTTAGATGTACAGCCCTCAATATGTAGATGCTACTTAAAGCTGTGAAGTGGCTGGGGAGTGAGTGTAGAGTGAGTTGGAGGAGCAGCACTGGTGTGGGCAAGAGAGGACGACTGTGGCCATGAGGCCTGAGCAGTGCCCGGGAGGGAGAAGCAGTCTAAGCATGCACGCATGCGGGAGGCCAGCTGTACACGGAGACGACGCGCTGTTCAGACCCGGCTGCCATGTTAACTGCGGTGAAGGCAGAGTTGACCACTGGAGCGGGGGCATGGAGGCCTTCAGCGATCTTAGCAAGCACCAATTTTCATAGATGTAGGAGAATGGGAACAGAGGAATTGGAGGCTGTGACTGCAGAAAACTTTGAGGGGTTTTGCTGCAGAGAGAAGCAGAAAAATGGAGCAGTTGGTGGTGGAAGAAGTGGAATCAAAAGGTTTTGAGATAAGAGAGAGAACAGAGGGAAGAGCTGTTGGAATAAAGTCCAGGAAGAGTGGATGGTGTCTAGTGAGCCAGTGATGTGTGGCCCTGAGTAGAGGTCTGGACAAATCATCTGTGCCTGAGCTGCCTGTAGAACTTTCTGTGATCATGGAGATGCACGTCTGTTCTTCCCAATATTGTAACCCTGGCTGCAGGTTGATATGGACCACTTCCAGTGTGGCTAGTGTGATTGAGGAACTGTGTTTTAAATATTTGTAATTGTAATTAATTTTAATTTAAATAGCCACACATAGCTCCCCTACGGGCCAGGTTGGAGCTCTAATAAGGCTGGATATGGGAGGAAACCCTGGTAGAGGGTTGACCATGGATGTTCTTTTGGTTTTGGAGTGAATCAGGAAACAGCCATCAGCTGAGTGAAGGTGAGGGAGGTGGTAGGTGTTTGAAGACAGGGGGAAAGTGTGAAAAAATTGTTCGGAGAGGAAGGAAAGAAGGTGTGGACTGGGGACGTTTCCAGTGTTCAGGCACGCAGGGCTCCACAGAGTTATCTACATTTGCTGTCCCTTGGAGCAGCAGAGAAGAAAACGGGACATATTCTGAGCAGATTGCAGAGGTAAAATGTGTGGTTTTGTTTGTTTGTTTTGAGACAGAATCTCACTCTGTCACCCAGGCTGGAGTGCAATGGCATGACCTCGACTCACTGCAACCTTCGTTTCCCGGGTTCAAGCGATTCTCTCACCTCAGCCTCCCGAGTAGCTGGGACTACAGACACGCACCACCATGCCCAGCTAATTTTTGTATTTTTATTAGAGACGGGATTTTACCATGTAGGCCAGGTTGGTCTCAAACTCCTAACCTCATATGATCTGCCTGCCTCAGCCTCCCAAAGTGCTGGGATTACAGGCGTGGGCCACCGTGCCCTGCCAAATGTGTAGTATTTTTAATGGGATAAAGCCTCCATAATTCTGTCCACAGTTCCTTTACTTAGAAATTGCTCCTTTGTTCATGTTAATCTTATGTTTATTACCGATAACGGCATATGGGTTTTTTCCCTGTCATGTGTAGCTGAATCGCGCAGAATTTGAAGATCAAGATGATGAAGCCAGAGTTCAGTATGAGGGTTTTCGACCTGGGATGTACGTCCGCATTGAGATTGAAAATGTTCCCTGTGAATTTGTGCAGAACTGACCCCCATTACCCCATTATCCTGGGTGGCTTGAGCAACAGTGAGGGAAATGTTGGATACGTGCAGGTGGGTCCCTTTGCTGCATATTTGGTGCCTGAGGCTCTGTGGATTTCCCCTCCATCAATCATCTTACGCTCTCGTCCCCTCAGATGCGTCTGAAGAAACATCGCTGGTATAGGAAATCCTCAAGTCCTGAGATCCAATCATATTTTCTGTAGGGTGGAGGAGGTTTCAGACCATCCCGCTCTATTATATCGAAGACCACAATGGAAGAAAAAAGCTTCTAAAGTATACCCCACGGCACATGCATTGCGGAGCAGCCTTTTGGGGTAAAATATGATGACAATAACTTGCTTATTGTCAAGATTACACCTTACAGGCTGCATCATTACAGCTTTGTGCTTTTCCTGTCATAAAATTCCACTCCTAAGATTTTTCTCTTTTCTGGGAGCTGGGAGGTGGTTTGGAGTATATATGTAAATCTATATCCAAATGTAAATATCCATATCCAATATGTAAAACTGGAATTTAAAATTTGTGGTTTGCTATATTGCTTTTTTTCTTTTTCCTATAAGGCCCTATCACTCCACAGGGAACTGGTTTCTTGGCAATACAGTCTGTCAGTGGCATAATGGTAACTATCTTGGATGATTTCTTTTACAGATTGGTTTGAGAAATGTATCCTGAATGTGGGTTATTATGTACATGAGACTTTAAGTTGAAAATTATTCATTTTTAGTATTATAAAGTAAATTTCTGTTTGCTTTTAATCTTCCTACATCCTTTTCAGTAGGGTGTGGGAGTAGAGGAGGTGAGGTGGAAGAATTATAATGGTCCTGAAGACATATTCTACTTTTGTGCATCTTTTGGATTTATTTATCTAAGCAAATACTTAAACAGTGTTCACCATGTGATAAGCACTACAGGAGGTTGTGAGGAGCCATCAGAGACCAGCCAGACGCGAGACTCCCTGCAGCCATGCTGGGGTAGCAGTCTGTTCACTCCATTTTCATTTGACCAGTCAGGCAGGGCAGGGTTTATCGATCCCATTTAACAGAGAAGAAAGCAGAATAATGAGCAGATGGAACCTGCCCTGGAGGTCCAAATTTTGATTTCCTAAACATTGCAACTGTATTTCTTTTCCATTTCATTCTAAATAGATCATTATAGTGAATTACATTCCTCTGAAATCACTCTCGGGAGAGTACTCAAGTTGCCCCCGCCCCCCCCCACACACCTTTTTTTGAGTCAGAGTCTCACTCTGTTGTCCAGGCTGGAGTGCAATGGTGCTATCTTGGCTCACCACAACCTCCGCCTCCTGGGTTCAAGTGACTGTCCTGCCTCAGCCTCCTGAGTAGCTGGAATTACAGGTTGCACCACCACACCCAGCTAATGTTTGTATTTTTAGTGGAGATGGGGTTTCACTATGTTGGCCAGACTGGTTTTGAACTCCTGACCTCAAGTGATCCACCCGTCTCGGCCTCCCAAAGTGCTGGGATTACCTACGCTCAGCCTCAAGCCACCCTTGTTAGCTTGGCTTAACGATTTTAAAGTTTTGGATTGCTTTTGTCAAACCACTGGGTTGCCAGTTCAAATGGTCTCCCTTGTTTTTCTTAGCTAATTGTAAGTAAAATTCACTTTGGTAATGTATTGTGTCACATAGAATTGAAGTTTTTCTTTAGCTGATATTATTCCTATTTTCAAATTTTGGGGTTTCCATTATCCTGATTTTCGGATACCTGCCACAGGAGTTGTCCTTGATCTGGATAAATCCATAAAAATTGTGAAGAAATTAAAGCTAACTGGTTTTCCATATAAAATTTTCAAGAACACTTCATTTATTAAGGTCTGTATATCTATATATTCTCATATTTATAAATGTCCATATTGTTTGAGAAAAGGAATGAAATACCTCTAAAATATGGGCCTCAAGTTTTTAGAAAAGTATTTGAAATCTTTTATAAACTTCATATTTTGTTTGCTCCTTTATATTCTGTGTTACTTAAATATGCTCAAAAAAGCTATTTTTTTGAAAAGTAAACAGTTGTTTAGGAATTGAAGCGGTTACTCATGACTTCCATGTGAGACTGCCACAGAACTCATAATGAAAATATGTCATTTTATCCACTGGCTTTTGTTTCCTACTTTTTCAATTTGTGTTAAGAAAGGGAAAAAAATCACAAGTTTGTCTAACCATTCAGTAGAAAAATAGACAAAAGCATTTGCAGACAACTTGGCAAGGGTACAGAGAAATGGATGTACTGTTTTTCAGTATTTGGGGAGGGTGGTTTGAGCAGCATTTATTGACAATTTCATTAGTGGGGATGTTTCCATTACAAACACAGGGTTAGGAAGATCATAAAATTGTTCTTGCAATATAAGGTAATAATACCACCGGCGTTTATCTTACTGTTTTCATGTTCTAAGTGCATGCACCTGAGTAAAAGCATCTGAGCGGCAGTCCAGTCTGAGAGACGCCAGCAAAGGCTGACTAGGTCAGTTCAGTCCAGTAAATCCCTCTTGGATCTTCTCTTCCACATAGACAGCGGTGATGAGCATGCCCATGAACCCACATGATTATTTTGGGGGAAATGAAAGGGTTGTATTTTTGAGGTAGTAATTGTACTTTCAGGGGCAAATACATTTTGATTATTGTATCACCCTTCAATGAGTTGTTTTTTTTTCTTTAACCAAGGATATATGTTTGAGGGAAGAAGTAAAGCATCAAGTATATGATTTTGTGTGTGTTTTTATCTTGCTATACCTGTAGGGAATGTTTAATTCTGCCTTGGAAGTAGCCAAATTTGAAGGTGCTGTGATTCGAACTGTCAGTGGGATAAGGGGGCAGATCAAGAAAGCGCTCTGAGCTCCAGAAGGAGCTTTCCGGGCCAACTTTCAGGATAAACTGCTGATGAGCAGTGAGTGTCTTGAGTAGTGTTCAGGGCAGGGTGTTACCATTCATGCTTGACTTCTAGCCAGTGTGACGAGAGGCTGGAGTCAGGTCTCTAGAGAGTTGATCAGCTCCAGCCTTAGATCTCCCAGTCTTATGCGGTGTGCCCATTCGCCTTGTGTCTGCAGTCTCCTGGCCACACCCAGTAACAGTTCTGTGATCTATGAGAATAGTTTCCCTAGCGAGCTTTCCCTTCAAATACTTTGCAACCAGGTAGGGAAATTTGGAGTGAAGGTTTTGTTCTTTGTTTCTTCACAATATGGATATGAATCTCCTTTTGAAAATGTTAAAGTAAATTACCTCTCTTTTTAGATATTGTTTTCATGCACACTTGGTATCCTGTTTCCATCCCAGCCTTCTATAACCCAGTAGCATCTTTGTTGAAGCCCAGTGGGTGAGAAGGAATGTGGACCACCAGCCAACTCTGGGTTAACCATGGCGTCAGACTAAAGGCGAACAAGGACTCTCTGTGTAAGGTACCAGTCGCGTGTGTGTTAGTGGAGATGCAGTCTGTGCCCTGCAGACAGGGAGTCACACAGACACTGTTCTATAATTTCTTACATGCTTTGAATGTTCAAGTATAAAGTCTAATGTTAAATTTGATTGAACAGTTGTATATTCACGGAATATTTTGCAACAGAACACCAAAAAATGGTAATAGTGGTTCTTTCTGGATTGAAGACAAACTTTTCTTTTTTAAAATGAAATTTATTTTATATATTTGAGGTTGACCACATGATCTTAAAGGATACATATAGTAAACTGTTACTACAGTGAAGCAAATTAATGTATCTACCATCTCACGTAGTTTCATTTTTTTGTGTTTGACAGGAACAGCTAAAATCTACTTATTTAACAAAAATCCCAAAGACAACACATTTTTATTAACTGTAGCCCTCATGTTGTACATTAGATCTTTAAGTTTTTCATCCTGCATGTCTGCTACTTTGTATTATTTTAATGTACATCTTCCCATTTACTATTGGTCATTTCCTATTTGGCCCATTTTTCAACTGGGTTGTTTTTTTTGCTCTTAAGTTGTAAGAGTTCTTTACTGATTTTTGGATATTAACACTTTATCAGATATGTGATTTGCAAATATTTCTTCCAGTCTGTAGGTTCCCTTTTCATTTTATTGGTTGTTTCTTTTGCTGTGCAGAAGCTTTTTAGTTTGATGCAGTCCTCCTTGTTTATGTTTGCGTTAGCCTGGCTTCTGGTGCAATATCCAAAAAATTATTGCTAAGGCCAATATCAAGAGGCTTTCCCCCTATGTTCTCTTCTAGGAGTTTTATGGTTTCAGGTCTTCTTTAGGTCTTGTATCTGTTTTGAGTTAATTTTTGTGTGTGGTGTATGATCAGGGTCCAATTTTATTCTTTTGCATGTGAAAATCCAGTTTCCCAGCACTATTATTGAAGAGAATATCTTTTTTTCCATTGTGTTGTCTTATTTGCCCTTGTCAAAAATTAGTTGGCAGTATATGACCTTTATTTCAAAGGTCTCTGTTCTGTTCCATTGGTCTGTTTTTTTGGTTGTTGTTTTTGTGCCAGTACCATACTGTTTTGATTATTATAGTTTTGTAATACAATTTTAAATCAGGAGATGTGATGTCTCCAGCTTTTTCTCTAACAGTAATCTGTTGGCTGTTTGGAGTTTGTTGTGGTTCCATATGAGTTTCAGGATTGTTTTTTCTGTTTTTTTGAGATGAAGTCTCACTTTGTCACCCAAGCTGGAGTGCAGTGGCATGATCTTGGCTCACTGCAACCTCCACCTCCTGGATTCAAGCAATTCTCCTGCCTCAGTCCCCCAGGTAGCTGAGACTACAGGCAGTGTCACCATGTCAGGCTAATTTTTGTGGTTTTAGTAGAGACAGGGTTTCACTATGTTGGCCAGGCTGGTCTCCAACTCCTGACCTCATGATTCACCTGCCTCGGCCTCCCAAAGTGCTGGGATTACAGGTGTGAGCCACCACGTCCGGCCAGAATTGTTTTTTTCTATGCTGTGAAGAATGCCATCAGAACTTTGATGAGAATTGTTTTAAATCTGTATATTTGCTTTGGGCAGTGTGAACATTTTAACAATATTAATTCTTCTGACCATGAACATAGGATATCTTTCCATTTGTTCATATCTAAATTTCTTTCATCAATGTTTTATGGTTTTCAAGTGTACACATCTTTCATCTTCTTGGTTAAATTTATTCCTAAGTTTTTGTTTTTCTTTGATGCTGTTGTAAATGAGATTATTTTCTTGATTTCTTTGTCAGCTAGGTTATTTGTATATAGAAATGCGACTGATTTTTAAGTGTTGAGTTTATGCCTTGCAGTTTAACTGAATCAATTTAGTAGTTCTCACAGTTTTTTTGTGGAATCTTTGGGGTTTTTTAGATAAAGGATCTTGTCATCTGCAAAAAGAGATAATTTTACTTCTTTAATTTAGTTGCCTGTTTTTTTTTTTTTCCTCATCTGATTGCTCTTGCTAGTACTATGTTGAATACAAGTGACAAGACTGGGCATCTCTATCTTGTACTCAATCTTAGTGGAAAAGCTTTCAGTTGTTCCCTCCCCACTAACTATGATGTAGGCTGTGGGTTTTTCATAAATGGTCTTTATTATGTTGAGAAACTTTCCTTCTATACATAAACTATTAAGAGGTTTTATGAAGAAAGGTTGCTAAACTTTGTTAAATGCTTTTTCTGCATCAATTGAGGTGACCATGTGGTTTTACATTTTATTTTGTTAATGTGATATATCACATTGATTTGCATATGTTAAACCAGGCTTTCACAACAGGGAAAAATCCCACTTAATCATTATGTATAATTTTTTTGATGTGTTGTTGAATTCTATTTGCTAAAATTTTTTTAGGATTTTTGCATCAGTGTTTAATTTATTGGAGAAGTTGACTTGTAGTTTTTTTTTGTGTGTGTATGTGTCTGTTCTGGTTTGGCTTAGGTATTAAGGTGACACTGGCCTGGTGAAATGTGTTTGGAATTATTTCCTCTCGCTCTATTTTTGGGAGGAGTTTAAGAAGTAAACTCCCAGGGGATGGGAGTGACTCTGGACATGGGAGTTACATGGTAGTGACTCTGGACCCTGGAGTGGTGGAACACAGCAGCATCCCAGTCTCCATGAGGCCAAGTACAGCACCAGCAAGGACCCCAGAATGGTGGAGCACTGCTGTGGCTTGGGCCCTCGGGGGCAGGGACCAGCGCAACAACGACTTCTTCCCCTGGAGAGGCAGGTGTCTGGGCAACTCAGATTCTCCAGGGATAGTCCAGTTTCAAGAAAACAGGGTTCTACAGTTGTTTGTCCTGAAAGGCAAGGTACCCCAGTTCAGCCAATGCTATTTTCCTGGGATGTGGGGGTGCCATGTTGTCTCATCCCTGTCAGGTGTGGCTGCTCAGCTCAGCCAAGACTCTGATTCCCTGTGAAGTGGGGCAGTGCTTCAGCTCTCATGCAATGAGAGGTTGTCTGCTCTGGGTAGCCAAGGCACTGATTCTCTGGAGAGCAGGGCACCAAGTCAGCTCAGGCCCCAAGGGGCAGGGCACAATTGCAGCTGGGAGGGGAGGGGCACAGCAACGTGGCCCCACAGGGTAGGGTGTATGCTGTGATGTGGACGTGTTTGTTCCCATCAGTACTCCTGTTGAAATTTGATTCCAAATGTGGTGGTGTGGGAGGTGGGGCCTAGTGGGAGGTATTTGGGTCACAGGGGCAGATCCTTTATGAATAGGTTAGGCCTTTTCATGGGACTGCATTAGTTATCTGGAGTGGATTATCAGAGTGAGTTCAGCTTCCTAGACTCTCGTGTTTCCTCTCTTGCCATGTGAGCCCTTTGCATACACCTGTTTCCCCTTCCACTTTCCCCATGAGATGAAGCAGCACAAGACCCTCACCAGATGTGCTGCCCTATCTCAGACTTTTCAGACACAAGCAGGGTGAGCCAAATAAACCTTTTTTATAAAATAAGTTTCCGAGTCTCAGGTATTCTGTTACAGCCATACTAAATGGCCTAAGACAGTGTAACAGCAGCTCAGGGGTGGTGGGCCACTAGGCAGGGGTGATACAGAGCAACAAACCCTGAGGATGGTAGAAGGGTGCAGTGGCTGCTCACCCTGGGCGGGACATGCTCCCTAAGTGGTTCCGGGTCCAGGAGGTCACGTTGCAGCAGCAGCTGGTCCATGGGGGTGGGGCGCAATGTCGGTTCCTTCTCTGAGGGGAGTGCTGGGGCTGCTGGGCCCCTTTTGCTTCCTTATCTCCGCAGGGAGACATCCCCTCTGCTTCAGGCTGATCCCTCTGGGGATGGGTGGTGGGGGACAGATGTTTCCTTCTCTCCTTTATGTGACCGTCCTGGTTTTCTGTGCTCTACCGGATTTCTGCTACTCCTTGATGCACTCTGGGGCTCTCCTTTAGAACCTTCATCAAAATATAGTTGTTTGCTGCTTTGGCTGTCTTTGTCAGAGGACAAATGCAAGGGACTATTGATTGGCCCCTTGCTGGTGTCCCTCCCTCTTAAACTTTTCACTGGGTACTCTTTTGAACCACTTTTTCCCCCACCATATATATGTATTTTTAAAGCATCAATGTGCTAATTTCTATTGAAGCAATGTGGATTTTTCTGAAAGTTTTAATGTTTTAATAAGCTTTTTATTAAAATGCTAATGTACATACAGAAGAATGCCCAAATCGCAGGTGTGCAGGTAGATGAACTGTAGCACACCAGGCTGCCATGCTCTGGACCAAGCAGTAGCCTCACCCTGTGGCCTCTCCCAGGCACTGCCACCCCAACCCACAAAATAGCTACTTTCCCAGTTCCTGACGTAGATTTGTTCTGCCTGGTTTTGAATTTTATAAAATACAACACATTCTATTTAGCCTGGCTTCTTTGCTTCAGTATTACAGGACACAACCATGTTCTTGTCTATGGCAGACATTGATTTATTGTCATTGCTGAGTTCCATTATATGACTGTATCACCATTTATCCATTGATGAGTAAAATGATTTCCTGTTTTTGGCTGTTATCCCATGGCCCTGAACGCTAGGTCTGGATATGGGACTTGCGGGTATGCAGGGGCACACACACTTCTGCTGGAGGATCCCTGGGTGGGGTGGAGACTCCAGGGCACCTGTGCTCTGCCTCAGTGTGGAGGCTTCTGTGTCGTGTTCTGGGAGCACAGTGGCTTGGCCTCCACCAACAGCACAGCTTAAAGAGTTCCTGCTGTTCCACATGCTTGAAGACAATTCAAGTTTTGTTTTGTTTTGTTTTTCTTTTTTTTTTTAGGTTTTCAGTGCCTGTCTGGACTTCTATTTTCATTTAGATTTTTGGTTTCTTAGAAATTTCGTTATTCTCTTCATAGCTTAAAAACGTATTTGAAAAGATTTGTTTTCATGTGGAGTATTTAGTTTTGTGATAAGTGGGTTGTTCAAGGCATCAGTCTGCCACTCTGCTAGAAACAGAAGTCTCCCAGGCATTTCTTTTTATATAAAGTAGTTAATGAAATTTTGAACCAGCTTACATGAATTTTTGTTAAAATACACTTCAGGATGTGGTGCCCATTATCCATTCTACTCTTCTGTGAGAAGCAGATTTCTCTGAATTCTTGAATTCGAAAACAATTGGGGTTCCTAAACAGAGAATATGGAATATTATTGGGGATGATGTCTTTAATAATACATTTCAAGACATAGGAGAAACTTTTTCTATACGGTTGACTTTAATAAAAGCCTAGGGCAAAACTTTCAATTTATTAATAGTATTTATGAGGCAATTAAGAATTTGTGCCATCTTGATTAAACATAGAATTTAAGATTACCTTGAAAATTCAGTACAGAGTATTTTGGCTTCATCTGTTTTTGAGTCTCCCTTCTTTCAGCCAGCCTTCCATCAGAAATAGAATAAAGTTAAACTTCTTAATTGGAATCAGGAATCAGGACTCTTTGGCTGCTGATTGAAAGAAGAACTATCCTTAAATCCAGAGTGGGCCAGGCGTGGTGGCTCATGCCTGTAATCCTAGCACTTTGGGAGGCCAAGGCAGGTGGATCACCTGAGGTCAGGAGTTCTAGACCAGCATGACCAACATGGTGAAACCCCATGTCTACTGAAAATACAAAAATTAGCTGGGCATGGTGGTGTGTGCCTGTAGTCCCAGATACTTGCGAGGTTGAGACAGGAGAATTGCTTGAACTCGGGAGGTGGAGGTTGTGTGAGCTGAGATTGTGCCACTGCACTCTAGCCTGGGCGACAGGGCGAGACTCCATCTCAAACAAACAAACAAACAAACAAATGAAAAACCCAATATCTAGAGTGGTTGATAGTCAAGATGAAAAACTAAATTATTTTTGTTAGGCTGGGAAATAACCACCTCAGTGGCCTAAAGACAAGGCCTGAAATTTCCATGAAAAGAAACTGGGATCTATTCATCTGCTCTGTTGAGACCCCATAGTTCCATATCATAGAAATGGGCACAGAGGGTTTTCGGGGGAGAGTTGTAAGTATAAGCTCTCTGTTCCTCTGTATACTGAGAATTGTGGGGGTCCACTGAGGCAGTTCATATTTGGCAGATGATTGAGACCTGATTTCTCAGGGCCAGTGGACTCTGGTGTTGCTGATCTTGTGGAAAAGTCAACCCAATGAGAAGATTTTATGCAGAAGTTTTAAATACACATTGGTCATAATTTGAATATGTCACGGTCTTTATTTTTCTTTTCAGCCAGTCCTAAGGCAATCCTGAGGCAAAAATTCACTGCAGATTCCAAAAGCCTCGCAGAAGGCCCTGCCATTTAAGAACAAGCCCAAGACCCAAGCAAAGGCAGGCAAGGTGCCGAAGAACAGGTGGAGACCGGCCGTCATACGCGAGCCTCATGAAAGAAAGGTACTATTGCCCATGCCGTACTGCATGCTGCATTTAGATAGGAAAAGAACGCTCTCAGCAGCATACCTCCTGTTTCTACTGCAGTCTCAGTTATTCAGGGCACTGGAACTAAAGTCAGAGGAAGAGCCAGAGTCCATTTCCCTTCCTTTGCCTGGTCCTGCTCTGCCCTGCGCTTTTGATGGGGATAACAGGCACATGGCTGGGGAACTCCTCTGTCTTGGTTAGCTGCACACAGTGTCCACAGAATGATGAACACAGGTGGTAAAGGTAAAATGCGATCACACCTGTGTCTCCATGCCAACAATGACTTCCTAGCGCAGGATGCATTTTCATGCAGTTAGCATTCATTTGGATCGTGGGTTGCCTCTAGTCTTAGTGCTTAGGATGCGAGTGTGTCAGGTGGCTGAGAGCATTCTGATACTCACTGGCTTTTGTCGTTGTCAGATCCTCGCGCTGCTGGATGCTCTGAGTACGGTGCACAGTCAGAAGATGAAGAAGGCCAAGGAGCAGCAGCACCCGCACAATAAGGAGCACTTCAGAGCCAAGCAGAAGGAGGAGGAGGAGAAGCTGAAGCGGCAGAAGGACCTCAGGAAGAAGCTCTTCCGAATTCAGGGGCAGAAGGAAAGAAGCAACCAGAAGTCCAGTTTCAAGGGGGCTGAGGGCCAGTTGCAGTAAGCCTTTGGACTGGAGGGACTGTCCCTGGATCTGCGGAGGTGGACAGTTGCAAACATCACAGTTTGAATGCCTGTGAATGACAAGTCAGTGGGCAAGAGCTCAAGAGATGTCTCTACCCTAACTGTGCCTGCAAGAGGGGGAACGGAGAAGCCTGGACTGCTGGGACTGGGTTCGTTCTCACCACCTGGGGCTGTAGAGCTTTAAAGTGATGTAAGCTGTGGTTCTGTGGATTCTCTTACTTTCCTCTGCATGCCTCAGTTTAATTATTTTGTGCTACAAAACTATCATTAAAAATTTTTTTTGTTAGTTTTGGTTTAGTAGTTTTCATTAGGGATGAATGCCTGTCAATTCTTTGTGGATAATTATTTATTCTACCACCTTCATGAGGAGTCTTCCAGAAGAGAAAGAAATATTCACTTGAACCCTCAGCTCTCATGGAAAATTTTAGAGAAGGGTGTGTAGTGTTTTTGTTGTCTGTTATTTCCTTTGATCACTGGCCCTTGTGGACATTTTCTATCTTATTTCGTATGTTTGCACATTAGTATAGTGACAAGGTAACAGTAAGTACATTTTTAAAGCTTTAGACCAGGAGATTGTCAGGTGCAGAGACCAAGTAAATTGTATATATCAATGAGATAGGCTTCCCATATTATGCTCATATGTTATGCCCATATTATGCTCATGCATTATGCCTGCCTAGCCGCGCTGACTTTTTTTTTTTTTCCCCCCAGACAGAATCTCACTCTATCATCAGGCTGGAGTGCAGTGGTGCGATCTGGGCTCAGTGCAATCTCCACCTCCCAGGTTCGAGTAATTCTCCTGCCTCAGCCTCCCAAATAGCTGAGATTACAAGCACACGCCACCACACCCAGCTAATTTTTGTATTTTTTGTAGAAATGGGGTTTCACCATGTTGGCCAGGATGGTCTCAAACTCCTGACCTTGTGATCCGCCCGCCTCAGCCTCCCAAAGTGCTGAGATTACAGGTGTGAGCCACGGTGCCCAGCCCATTGCCTTTTTAAAAAATTAAACATTATATTGATGTAATCATACTATTATATAGGCGATGAATGTATTTTATGATTGTATGTTGATATAATTATATGAAATCTAATCCTATACAATGTAATCATAGAGTCACATATAGTTGTATACTTTGCCCAATTTCTTTCAGTAGTAACATTTCACACATATCACAATCAGGATATCGATATCAATACAGCCCACTGATTTTATTCACATTTCCCCAGCTTTACTTTCCCCAATGTATACTCCTCCATGTGTGCATGTGTGTGTAGAAATATGGAATGCAGCTGGGCACAGTGACTCACGCCTGTAATCCCAGCACTTTGGGATGCTAAGGCAGGAGGATCACTTGAGCCCAGGAATTTGAGACCAGTTTGGACAACATGGTGAAACCTCATCTCTACAAAAAATACAAAAATTCGCCAGATGTGGTGGTGCACACCTGCAGTTCCAGCTGCTTGGGAGGCTGAAGCAGGAGGATCACTTGAGCTCAAGAGGTCGAGGCTGCAGTGAGCTGTGATAGCACCACTGCACTCCAGCCTGGATGACAGAGCAAGACCCTGTTTCAAAAAAAAATGTATATTTACGGATAGCTATATAAAAATATATATACACAAATATATATGTAGAACATATATATACACACAAATATATATGTAGAACACTTCATGAATTTGTGTGTCATCTGTGCATGGGGCCCATGCTGACCTCTGTGTTGTGCCAGTTGTAGTACGTGTGCTGCTGACATGAGTACCGCATTGCCTTTACAACATCACAGGGGCCAAAGAGGGTCAGCAGGATTGTGAGCAGTTGGCCTAGTCTGAGAGGCTGTCTAAAAGCCGAAAGCTGTCAATAGACAGGTGCTCAGCTTTGTGTCTCCATAAGAAGGGAAGGGGATGTGAGGATCCCATCAGGGCTGGGTCTATCTGGGAAGTGACTGTTGGAACACACCCAGACCAGACCTTTCTGAGCAACTCTGGGTGTAAATTTTCCTCTATTCCTCAAGAGCTATTAGGAATTTCATCATCCAGCATGCTGATAGGCCTGGGGACTGACACATAGTAAGCCCATAACAATTATAAAACAATTTAAAACTAATATGTTATATAGCATAATCTGTACATTTTTAAATGCAAACCTATAATTCAATTAAAATGTACAAGACACTCTGTCATACCATGTTTTATAATTAAGTAGCTTATAAGGTGATCAGCAAGTGGCTTATACAACAAGCAAATTTGTTCAAAGAGAAGCCTTGCAAATAAGTATTTATAATTGTATAGTTTTATATTTCAGCCAGAAGAGTGAACTCCTTTAAGCAATGGGAGAAATAAAAGAATGTTTAATTGCAGTTGCAGATGATTGTCTTTTCCAAAGACAATGTATGTAGGCAGAAGTCATACCTGTTAATATGAAAAATCTTGGTTTACCATATTTGGAGAACAAGGGAAATGAAAAGTTTGTATATCAAGATTATTTAAAACTAAAGTTAAGGAATCTCTAATGTCTGAAAGAAACAATAAATAGCATTTTCCATGTAGAATTTTTATTGGTGAAGACCCCACCTGGCCGGGTTAGTAAAATACAGTCACACATCAATTAAGGATGGGGATATATTCTGAGAAATGTATCATTAGGCAATTTTATCATTGTGTAAACATCATGGAGTGACACACAAGCCTAGATGGTACAGCCTACTGTGCACCTGGGCTCTGTGGTATGGCCTATTGCTTCTAGGCTACAAACCTGGACAGCATGTGACTGTACTGACTACTGTAGCCAGTTGTAACACAGTGGTAAACATTTATGCATCGAAACATAGAAAAGGCATAGCAAAAATAGGATATGGTGGAACCACCGCCATATATGTGGTCTGTTGTTCACTGAACGTCATGCGGCATGTGGCTGTATGTATACACATAGTTTTTGCTGTGAGTTTGCATCCATCTCATAGGTAGACATATGTCACAATGAGGACCACACTGGAGACTGTGTAAATTACTTTTCAATACTAATAGCTTATTCATTTGATATTGTCAGCAAGTATGTTGCAAAAATAAATTCCCCCAGAATATGAGTTCCCTGAGAGCAGGAACTGGGTTGTTCACCTTGTTGGCACTTGGAGTAGAGCCACTGAGCTTAGCGCTGCATAAAATTGCTTGGAAGAAAGAAGGGAGGGCATTCCAGGTAACTGAAGTATTGCTATGCAAAGTAAGCATTTGCCCTCTAAAATATTTTAACAAATTTTATAGAAACCTTTCTCAATTGCATTGAACTTTATTGATTGTAAAAATTACTCTGTTATACCTTTCTATGCTTTCACTATGCACAGGCAGTCATAGGTGCTGGGTATGTTTTGAAAACGTATTGAACCTACAGTGTACATATCATTCCATGCCATTAAATATTCATATTTAATCATAGATGTGTTCAGTTGTGTTTGGTTTCCTATTCATGGATGTACTAGATTGTTTCTTTTTTTTAACGAAACGTGTGAACTTGCTTTAAGTATTATCATTTGGTGACATGCTCGCCATTTCACACCTGGCTGACTCCCATGTCTATTTAAGAAGATTTAGTTTAAAAATTAAAAAAAAATTTTTTTAAGGCCGGGCATGGTGGCTCACGCCTGTAATCCCAGCACTTTGGGAGGCCGAGGCGGGTGGATTACAAGGTCAGGAGATCGAGACCATCCTGGCTAACATGGTGAAACCCCATCTGGTGGCGGGTGCCTGTAGTCCCAGCTACTCGGGAGGCTGAGGCAGGAGAATGGCGTGAACTGGGGAGGTGGAGCTTGCAGTAAGCCGAGATCAGGCCACTGCACTTCAGCCTGGGCGATAGAGCGAGACTCCATCTCAAAAAAAAAGAACTTTTTTTTAAGAAAAAAATCTGTATGTAGGTAGACCCATGTAGTTTGGACTTGTGTTGTTCAAAGGTCACAACTGTACCTGTGGTGACTGATATGAAACAGAGGACCAAAAATGTTAGTTTTATTTCCCCATCTGGTCCCATTTAAAAGAGGTGTTCAGGTCTGAGAATTTTCACATGTACGAGGTTCCACAGTCAGGATGCCGAGGAGCTGCACCCCTCTTGCTGGAGTCCAGCCCTCCCCACCCAACCCTGCTGACTGCTGATGCGCCTTCCATCCCTGTCACACTGTTGTCTCGGGAAGGTCACGTGAGTGGAGACACGCAGCATGGGATCTCTGTAACTAGCTGCTTTCGCCAAGCATCATGTTTTTGATCCATCCCAATGCTCTGTGTGCCAGTGGCGTGTTCCTTTCTATTGTGGAATGGTGTTTGCCTGCGCAGGGAGACACGGGTGGTTACCCCTTCATCCATGGGAGGACGTGTGGTTGTGTCCAGATTTGGGCGATTATGGATAGAGTTGCTATAAATATTTGTGCAGAGGTTTTCATGTGAACACAATTTTTCCTTATTGCAGGGAAAATCGTTGTGGGACTGCTGGGCTATGTGGTTTAACAGAACTGTCAAAGTGCTTTCCAGTGTCACCTCACTGTGGTTTTGATTTGCATTTCCCTAATGACTAGTGTTGATGGTCTCTCATAGGCTTGCTGTCTTCCACATAGAGCGTCCTCTTCAGTGAGGATCCAAGTCTTTTACCCACTTTTGTTTGGATGGTTTTCTAACTGTTGATTTTGAGAGCTCTTTATATATGTCTGACTACTTTCTTTGTTGGATATGTGGTTTGCAAATATTCTCTCCCAGCCTTTAGCTGTCTTTTCAGTGTTTTTTAATAGTGTCTTTTCCCAAGCTATGTTTTTTATTTTGATTACGTCTAATTGATGGATTTTTGCTTTTATATACATTTGGCGTCATGTCTAAGAACAATTTCCCTAACCTCAAGTGATGAAGATTTCTTCCTATGTTTTCTTCCAAAACTTTAAACACACACTCTCTCCCTCTCTCTCTCTCTCGTACCAAATAAGGAGGAAACATTCATGACAATTGCAGTCCTGGTTTCTGTAACTGGTCACATGGTGCTATAACTACGTTCTTCCACTCCCCAGTATGTATTCCCTTTGCTTTCAGGAAGCCTCTGCTGGTTGTGGTTTTTAACCTGGTGGGGAACCCTCATTCCCAAAGGTTCTGGACTATTACTAATCATGACTAGATTGGGTTGTTGTGCTTTTCCATTGATCTTAATCACAGCACATTCCCCAAGAGCCCTCCTATACCCCAGACATGCTCTTCCCCAGTCCGTTGTGAAGCAGCAGGGTAGTTTCTCCTTGGTGGTCTGGACCAGCCACCCCCACCAGCGCAGGAA